ATAGATAGATAGATAGATAGATAGATAGATAGATAGATAGATAGATAGATACACACACACACACACACTTTCTTTTAAGACTTTAATTCTTTTAAAATGTGAGGATTTCCTTCTACAGTGCCTTATGATTATTTTGTGCTGAGTGTATGACTGGCCCAACATTATCCAGTCAGTTTCCACAAATGAAAATGGACTTGACCCTTGCTCTCTGCACTCCTAGTCTAAAACATTTAGCCATTCTGTCTTGCTCTATAAAACATTCCTATTCCCATGATTAATATTCAGAAATGCCTTTTATATTATTATAAGTAGAAAAATATTTTGCTTGCACAAATAAAATTATTTTCCCCTAATCTTATGGTTTGATTAAAGATTTGAGTCTTTGGAATATTCTCATGTGGGCCCACATATGACCATTTCTTTACAGACTCTGCAGTTGTGTAGCATCATTCTCATAACAATCTGGATTTACCGTTTTTTTCAGAGGATAAGACGCACTTCCCCTCCCCCAAAAATGGGTGGAAATGTCTGTGCGTCTTATACAACGAATATTGCGGGGGGGGGGGGAAGGGGGTTGGTGCAGTGCCGATCAGCTATTCTAGAATGGACCACGGCGGCGACAGCAAATGGGCTGCAGCAGCTGCAAATGGGTGGCAGTGGTGGCAAACAGACCATGGCAAATGGGCTGTGGCGATGGCGGCAGCAGTGGCAAATGGGCCACAGTGAATGGGCTGCAGTGGCGGCAGCAAACAGGATGCAGTGGTGGTGAACAGGCTGGGGTAAACAGGCCGTGGTAGCAGCACAAACGGGTGGTGGTGAATGGGCCAGATGAATACCAGATGGATGCTGGGAGGCAGAGGCAGATTTTTGAAAATTAATATAAATAGAAAGAGCAACATGTTCAAAATCCAGACAACACACTGCCTATATGGATTTTGGACATGTTGCTCTTTCTGTTTATAGTAATAAAAAAAAGAGGCAGATTTTTTTTTTCTTGTTTTCCTCCCCAAAAGTTAGGTCCGTCTTATAGTCCGGAGCATCTTATAACTCATGGCCTATTTCTAATTGAAGGAGCTTCAATTCAGCATATTTCCACATATTCTGTATTTGTGTAATTGTTTTTGATTTTTCCTGTCACAAGCAGATGAAATGAGTAACATGATAGCAAGAATCATCTCAGTAGTACTGAACTAGTTTTAGAAAAGGATGTTATACCCATAGAAAACTATCCATTCTCTTGAAATAGGCAGTGTAGGTAAATGGACTATAATGCTATGATGATATCATCAACCAAGTTTCATATATCTGTATATTCATTCAAACTTTCTTTTGGAAAAAAAACATTATAGTGGCCTCACCTGCCAAACAAACAGCTTTATCCTCATTGTAGTCTGTGAATAATGTTCCCCCAACAGCAGATAATCTTGTTATACCAGTATTAGTATACTGCAATCCAGGCTCTTTTCTCAGGGCCTTTTAAAGCTTGAAATGATGTTAAGGGGTAAATTTGGTATCAACTAGTGAGTCTCCTATGCCTCATTTCCTTACACCTAATTCCACACAACAAAAGAAACCCAATATATAGTAGTAGCACTATTACTTTGAAGATGCTTCAGTAACCTCTGGGATTAATTAGAACTGCAAAATATAAACAATTTAAATATTAAGAGCCAAGTCACTAAATTAAAATAATAAGTGCATAAGAGGCACCTGCATATAAACATGTAATCATGTTCATGTTTTTCAGTGATTGTGGTTGCTTCAACAAACTCCAGCTTGGTTTATGCTATATTTTTTACATAACTGCATACAGTAATTATAGATTCTGTTCAAGTTGGTTGTCCTTGAAAGTATTTAGTGGCCTTTTCAAAATTCATTTATTGTGATTCATGACTAACATATAAAGTAAAATAAGCTCAATTATAAATGATTAAGTGTAAACAGAACATTCAAGTTGCTGTATAATTGTAAACAGTCCACAGTTCACCTAACATACAGATTTCTGTATATACATTTAACTATCTGTACCTTAATGTTACAAGCTATAACACAAAATTTGTGAATCAATATTATTTCTGACAGAAGGAAGAAAATATAAATTGCTATAACATTTTTAAAAGCAAGAATAATAAGAGAAACATAATAATAATATATACTACAGAGTTCATTCTTTCAACCATTTCAGGGAGGGGCAGAGACATTCAACAGATTGCTCATGCAAGTTTCCCTTCCAGTGCAGTAGAAGACATCAAAATGAATCAGATATAAGACTCCCTTATATAGAGAGATTATAAGATTTATTTATATATTTATCAATCAATCAATCAAATTTACATGGTCACCCATATCATAAGAAGTAATTCTGGGCAATGTACAATAAAAATAAACATGGCAGTCATATATAATACACACAATTTTATACAGACAATTCAACCAGCAATGGAGCCATCTCAACATCTCGCCAGTCCCCTAGTCCTGCAGAACTTCCAGAAAATAAGGAGGTGGGGGAGCTGATTTCACTTTGTTGGGGGAATGTCCATTAAGGCAAGCAACATGTCAAAAAAGGCCTTAGACTGTCTACTATTGACCTCACCCTTTTCCTAAGAGGTCTGTAGGGGGTGTGCATAAAGGCACCAACATGCCTACCGTCCCTGTCCTATTGTTTCTTTTTATTTTTCTTATATGTATACATTTCATGTATTCATAATTATGTTTATACTTATACCTATTATCTTGTAAGCAATTGACAAATCAAATAAATAAATAAAAGCATCCCTCTCAGCTAGATAGAATGAGTCAATCAGCTGTAATCAGAGAAAGAGGGTGTCTCAAATAACCAAATATAATTTATAATACCGGTATTTATATTTACAATTTAAAGAAAGATTTGAGTGTTCAGTAATTTTTGTTTTAGGAAAATTCCCAGTTGCAACAATAGCATAAAACAGGAGTCCCCAAACCTGGGCCATGGCCCACTACCCCAGAAGTGGGCCATGGAAATGGAAGGTGAGCTAACACACACACATCCCCACTTGCAGGAGCAGGCAACCACTGTGCATGTGCTCCATTTGCATGAGTGGAGTGTGTGCACGGAACCTTCCCCCCTCCTCCCCCGGGGTGGGTTTCTACCAGTTCTACCTCTGTGTAACCGGTAGCTCTGAAGGGCAGCAGACATAGAACTGGTTCTATGTCTGCTGATGTTTTTGCCCACGCACCCACCTGGGCTCTTACCTGATTTTTATTTCCTGATTTTTCAACTTCAGCTGCTGAACGAGACACAGCTGCAGTTAAAAAAAGCAAGAAGAGGGTTGTTTCAAAGGCTGCTTCTCTGCACGCAATGTGCTGATGATGATTTGGCTCGTAGCCTGCAGGGAAGCTCGTAAATCCTGAACTGGTAGTTAACCCTGTCGTATCCCAGCCCTGCCTCCCCCCCTTCACAAAGCTGAAAAGGTTGGGGAACTAATACAAAATCAAGCTTCTGATCATCTCTGATCATCTCAAACAGATAATCAAAAGGAGGAGCGGGATATAAAAACCTGTGGGTTTTTCATTTAGCATTTCCATCATCTGGAGACAATCTCCTCAAGGCAGAACGTAAGTTTGAGCTAGAATCTGATTGTGTGAAATTAGGTTTGAACCTCTAGAGCAGGGGTGTCAAACTCAATTTCATTGAGGGCCACATCAGGATTGGGTTTGCCCTTGGAGGGATGGGTTGGGGGGCATGATGGGTGTGGCTATGGTGGGCATGACACAGGATTGCACCTCTGCAGATATGGTTTTATAAACTTATAAAAATAGGGAAGCATACATTTGTGATTGTTTTTTTAAATACTTATTAATACTCCGGTTATTAAATGAATGGTTATAAGTCAAGGACTACCTATGTACAGGTATACTGCATTATTGTGTTATGTATCTTTCAATTGCTGAGGAGTGGCATCAAAGTTATTCATTGTATGGTTATGAATTTTAATTAAAATTAATTAAAATTTCCATATAAGCCTACATTGTAAATTGGTCACTGTGGCAAAAAATGAAACCAGTATATAACATTGAGACTGGATCTGTTTCTCTACACCACTGAAGATAAATGTCTAGTATGTTTGCAAACTGAACTAAGTAAAACCTTGCTAAATTACTGCAGGTATCATATCTCTAGTGAAGCAAATAATAATCATCTCCCTTGTCTAATGGAGGGAGATAAGCCAAATCCTGAATACAAGATCCCATTATACGGGCTAACTCAAGTTACCTATTATCACCAATGTGGCATCAGGACACTATTATTAAATGTAGGAAATGTATACCAAATATCTTGAATCCAAATTTGAAGTTCAAGAGAAAACATACGAAGTGATTATAACTAAACTTAACAAAGTGGGCCAAAGTTAACTGGTCAGATGGCTTCAATTTGGCAATACTGGTCTTCTAACATTCACCTAGATTTGAAGCATGCATTTCCGCAAATGTTTACTCATGGTTGGTGAAGCCACGGGCTTCTCAAACAAGTTTTCTGGGTCTGCATAAGACGCCGAAACTAAGCTAAGCATACCGGTTGGCTTCCCACACGTAATATGCTAAAGTGCAACTACCTAATAGATGGTTCAGCCAACTGAGTACAACCTATCCATATCCTTCACAGCCACCTCTTCATGCTTAAAAGGCATACTTTAACCGGGGGGTGGGGAACTGCCAAAAGGAGGAATGAATGCAGACTTGACTCCCTTTCAGTCACTGAAAGATAGCGCCGACAAGCCGCCCCCGCCCTCAGAAACGAGAGCTGGAAGACAAAACAGAAGCCAGAGCGGCTGCCGGAAAGTGCGGCGTCGCGCTTCCGGAAGTGATGTCAAGCTTTTTCGGCCGAGCCGGCCCCTGGAAAAGTTAGTCGGGAAACCCTGTTCCTTCTTTCGCGGCTGCTTTTGCAGAAGGTGGGTGGGTGTCGCTTTTGCTCGTCCAAGCTTTGCCGTGGGGGAGGGGTGTTTCTGTCTGGTCACTCACTTTCTCTGTCGGTTTGTCTTTGTCTCCTTCAGGCGCCATGCCGGCTAAGGGGCCCCTCCAGAGCGTTCAGGTTTTCGGCAGGAAGGTGAGGCTCGCGTGGTTGTTAGAACGGGCCAAACTCGGTGTCTCCTCTTCCGCCATAAAAGCCGAGAAATTGAAGGGGAAATGGGATGTTCTTGTTGCCCGAAAGTTGTCTTGGCCCGGCCGGCTTTCCGGCGCTGAAAAGTATCCCTCGTTTCTCATTTTCTGTGCGCGCAATGCCACTCCTCCACAGCCACGTTTTCCCACTTGAGTGGCGGGATTTGGCCTAAACCTCGGCGAAAGGAAACGGGCTCCCTTGGCGCTTTCTCTATTCCGCGTGCGGCGCTTTAAGTGCGGCACGTGGGATGGAAAGGCGGATAAGCTGTTAGTTTTATTCTGGGTGCGGGGTTGCTTGCGGGATATAGGGTTGAAAATAGGGCACCACAATTCCCGTCATCCTTTGCCGTTAACCAAAATGACTGCTACCATAGGAATTGGTCGCTTATCTTTCGTGAGGACCCATTCTGGCCAGATCCTGAATAGGCAAGGCTCTTCCACCAGTTCATATTCAAATACCCAGAATCACCTGAAGGCGAAATGGGCGGCAAATACATTTAATAAATAATAAATGTTTGGCATAAGTTCAGTGGCTCAGCAATAGAACGTATTTATCTCTAAAAATTCTCATCTTGTAATCACTGGACTCCTTTTTTGAGTTTTCTATCTTGATTGACAACTGCACCTATAATTTAGCTTTCTTGCTTCATGGCAATAAGTGAAAGTGGGATTGATAAAAGTTGATTGGTTTCAATAGCAAGATACAGTGATAATTAATGGTGATATGTATAGAGAATATTTATGGATGTTTATACTTGATGCAGTACTGATAATGCTTATCTGTCTTAAAGAGTATAACTTTGCCTAATATTTTTATTACCAAACCAACCCCAATTTAGAAAACTGCTACGGCAGTTGCTCACTGCAAAAGAGGAAATGGGCTTATTAAGGTGAATGGACGGCCTCTGGACATGATTGAACCCAGAACTCTCCAATACAAAGTAAGTGATTTTCTTTGTATGTATAATACATTTTGTATTAACTAATAATTGTTTCCTTTAGTTCCCCCCCCCCCTTCTCTTTAAACATTTATAGTTCTGGTGAAATTGAAGTGGGTTTGAGCTTAGCAGTTTTGTAAAAGCCTTTTGTTACCCAGAATCCTTTGCATTGTCATTAAGGTTCCAATGTTTTACATGCATTTTTGGAGAACTAGGCCAGAGTTATATTGATGTTTGTTTGATTCACTTCTGTCAGTAGTACTGTTTAGTCCTGGTATACAGTGCTTTTGTGCTGGAATATAGTAATTGAAAGCTGTAAAGCAGGGGTCTTCAAACTTGGCAAGTTTAAGACTTGTGGACTTCAACTCCCAGAATTCCTCCTCCAGTCATGTTAGCTCAGGAATTCTGGGAGTTTAAGTCCATAAGTCTTAAACTTGACAAGTTTGAAGACCCTTGCTGTAAAGCATTGAAAGCAAATGAAATGGTTCTATTTCTGTGTAATTTCATTGCAAATTAGTTGTAACTCTTGGGAGGAGTTATTTAAGGATACTGTGTTGGAATATAATGAAATAATTGTTAAGATGGCAAGAAACAAGTTTTCTTAGATGAAAGCAGTATTTACTATAATTTGACTTGGTGATGTAAAAATAGTACATTCAAAGAATACTGAAAGCCTGTATTCTATAAATCTAATGTATGTTTACTTAGACATTTCTGCATTAAATGGGAAGCTTGTTTAAGACTAAATGCTTTTTGTCTCCCAGCTGCTTGAACCAGTACTTCTTTTGGGAAAAGAGCGCTTTGCAGGAGTTGACATAAGAGTCCGTGTGAAGGGTGGTGGTCATGTGGCCCAGATATACGGTATGAGCAGCTCATATTTTACAAGCAGAAAAGTATATTATTAAACGTATCAGCTATCCAAATATAACATGTATACTTGTAAAACCTGTTATCACCTGCGTTAGTTTATTAATTTCTAACCGGATGTTTCTAGATGTGTTTTACTGGTCCCTAGCTAGATTGATTGATGGTCCACCTGATTTACAAGTTTAAGGAAGTCTGCTATATTGTAGTACGTGATTTGGTCTGTAGCAGTTATTAGTGTTTATCATTGTTTATACATACGTATAGATATCAGAGAGCCAGTTTGGTCTAGAGATTAAAGTGTCAGACTAGAAAGCAGGAGACTACTACTCCTGCTTGAAATTTTAGCCTTGAAAGCCAGCTGGGTCACTTTGGACCAGTCACTCTCCACCCAACCCACTGGTTGTTGTGGGGAAAATAGAAGGTTGGTTAGATATGTTTGCAACCTTGAGTTTTTTTGTAAAAATAAAAGTGAAATACAAATAAATAAATACTAACATAAATCCAAAGTATTGCTCCAAAGACTCCACAGTTAATATATCTGACTGAACCTTTACTAGCAACGTGCAGCATTTTTGTTTCAACTTGATGTTTTATTTTACTTATTTCTTCTACAGCAATTCGGCAATCTATTTCCAAAGCACTGGTGGCTTATTACCAGAAATGTAAGTTTTCATTCACTTTATTTTTTTGCTATTTTTTCATTATTATTTTTTTGTAAATTTTATTTGAGTTTTCACAAAGAGAAAAAAAATACAAATAAAACATCTTTTTTGAAAGTAGCGTAATCCCGGGTTACATTTCTTCGTACAGACACAAATTCAGGCTCATGCTCATTTTTATATTCCCATATCTTATTACTATTTTACATTTTCTGCATAGCTTCTCCCCTCTTTTAATTTTCTCAATTTTATTTTAATTATCTCATCTCAATTCAAATCATTGTATTTATATTTTTTGTCTGTCCTGTTTCAATTATCTATTATCTTTTCTCATTAAACAAAATTTCTCCTGTAGTTACTGATTGGAGTATGACGTCTTTATATCTTTTAAGTTTATCCATTTAACTCTTATTTAGGCTTCAATATATACCCTAAAGTTATAACATTCAATATAATACATAACTTCCATTCGGATTCTGCTTGGTACATTCTTAAAATACACACTATATTCTTAAAAAAAGAAAAAATTATAAATGTATGTAATTAAAACAACACATTCCATTCCAATTCAATTCTATCATTAATATTAATATTCATTAAAGTCTTAACTTCCTTAACATTACTTTTCAATTAAATATCATACTTCTATGGGAACAATTATAAGCTTTCCATAATTAATTCCCCCCCTTCACTTATATTTTATAAAACATTAACTAATTAAAATGTTCCCGTTCCTAATTCAATTTTCTCATTTATTTTATTTCACTTATTTTATTAACAAACATTTCACTAAATTACACTAACTATTTTATCTCTCATTTTAATCATACATTGTTTCCAATTTTCTAAAGTTATTTCTATTACTAATATAACAATACAATCTTATGTACCTTTACAGAATCCCCTTTTCAGTTAGATTTTCACCCATTATCTCTAAATAGGTCCTGTTTCTCTATATCTTGCTCGTCCTTTGTAACTTCTTTTCTTTTCCTTTTTCCCTCTCTTCTTCTCTCTCCCCTTTTTACCCCCTTGTCTCTCTACCTCTATTTCTCTCTTCTGTATTCCCCTTTTCTGTTGCTTTCCAGTATTATACTTATTTTTCGAATTATTTTTATTTTCCTTGGTTGTTTTTTTAAGTCTTAAATTCTCCATTCTCTTTCCCCCTCTTTCCTTTTTCTTCCCCACATAAAATTACTTGTTCATTAAAGATGGCTTATTCTTTGTCCCAGTCTTCTTGTTTTGCAGACGTTTCTTCTTGTTTCTCGTAGTTCCAAATCTCCATTACTAAGAATTGAAAAACGAAGCCAAAAGAACCCTTCCCTTCTTGTGCATCTTCTTTGTACTTTTTAAGTTCCATTTTCAATTCATGCAGAAGTGGTGCCATTGTATAAATTTTTAAACAACCACCCAATTAATTTTAGTCATTCAAATGTAATAACCAAGAATCCAAAGATCACCAAATAATCCAAATACACGCAAGCTGTTTCTTTTTGCTCTTTTTTTTCACTTTCTCTTCCTGGGGTTACTGTTTAGTTACAAAGTTTCAGTTAAAATGTATCTTTTAGAAGTCTTGTTGAAGTTTTACTGTAGATTCTTTTTAATTCGAGGCAGTGTCCTCCCTCTTCCAGATCCTGCCCTTATTCTTTTTCTCTCCCTTCCTGCTTATGAAAAAAAATTTTTTTAGTGTCCAGAAATCTTTATTATCCCTTTGACATTTTGTTTTATTTTCAGCTTAATTGCCTATTGATGTCAAAGTGGATTTTTCCAATTTCTTATTTAAGTCTCTTAGTTGTCAGTACAGGGAAGGAGAGAGAAGAAGAAAAAAAACCAACCCTTTCCCTTTTCACTTTTCTTTGCTGCTTCCGACTCTTCTTTGGGAGCGATGTTATTTTTTTGTAAGTTTAAATTCCAGGGTACTTTAGTTGTTGCTTTTACAATTTAACCCGGTCAGCCAAAACTTTCACTTCTTATCTTCCTCCTGCACATTCTTTTCCGGTCGAGTTCTTCTTTGTGGTGGCCATTTCTGACCACCGCTGCAACCGCCTTCGGGAAAGGGAGTAATGGCCAGCTGAGGAGGAGAGATGCGGCTCTCCTCAACCCTGCTGGCGGTCTCCCCCCTCTTCACCACCTCTACAGGGTGGCTTAGCCCTGAAACCAGCCAGCTCGGGGCGCTCCAGCGGCAAGCCCAGACCGAAACCGCGCACGATCGCGGATTTCTGTCTGTCGCTGAAGAGACTTCAAACCAGAAGCCTTGTTCATCTTACTCATGTATATTTAAGCCAATATTGACCATATAAATTAAGTGCTGCTTAAAAGATTTTATTTCTTGATGCTTCCTGTAAGTTACCATTTCTGAGCAATGTTATAGGATTGATTATAACAATAGCTTCAAAGTCTAATACAGTTGTTTTATTTTTCTCAAGATGTCGATGAAGCTTCTAAGAAGGAAATAAAGGATATCCTCATCCAGTATGATAGGACCTTGTTAGTTGCTGATCCTCGACGTTGTGAGTCCAAGAAGTTCGGTGGACCTGGTGCTCGTGCACGTTATCAAAAATCCTATCGTTAAAACCTTTTTTGTCTATTTGAAATAAAGGATAAAATTTAATAAATAACTTGTTTCTGAGAACTATATTTCAGTCTGTTTTTGTGATGTTTCGGGAATGCTTAAGAGTCAGTTTTAAAATTTTATTAGCTTATTTCAGCTTCTGTCTTTTAGTGCGGTCTTAAAGGTTTACTCAACATGAATTATAACTTAATTAGACATAGTTCCATTAAAATACAGTAAATTGGGTATAAAAATACAGTAAACAATTCTATCTGGTGTGAATAAGAAGTTTGCCCTATTTCAGTTTCTTTGGCTTAACTACAGCTACATAGGCTTTTCTCAAAACTTGCAGGAGCAAAGTCCTCCATTCAGTGGATGCTGTAGATTGTGATCCTAAAAATAGTAAATATTTTTAATGCAGTCTAACAAAGCATATATGTGGAATTCTGGAGACAGTAGTAACATAGTAATTCTTATAATTAGAATTACTAAGTTTTGTTTGTATAATTTATTTTCAAATTACAGAAATATCTAATGTTAACACAGCTTTGTGGTGCACACAAAGTTCTCAGTTCTGCCTATAATTCCCTCTGAAATGAAAAAACCAATATTTAAACTCGCAAATTTTCTCTCTCTATATATATAGATATAGATATATAGATTAGATATAGATATTCCAAATACCATTTTCATCATTTTCTATAGTTCCTTTGATAGCCTAATCATTGTAAAGGACTCTGATTTTGAAAAGTTAAATGAGGCTAGGCCCGATTAATATTTGAATGAGATCATAAAGAAATCTTTGAGCTGAAGACTTTATTGGAAGAAAAATCCTGGAAGAAAGCAATAGAAAAATGCTTCAAATTTAGTAAAAACAACACAGATGTCAATTCATTAGAGCAGTGGTTCCCAACCTTTTTTTCCGCCCCGCACCCCTAAAGAAATTTCACTCGAACCTCACACCCTCTGAAATTTAGACTTTAGGAACTACTGAACGCGTTAAATATATGGTAGGATTGAATCTTTTCAGCTATGTATGTGACGGCCACTAAATAACGATACTTAACTCTAAAATGAAAACAAAGTTAATCCACTGCATAATAAATAAAAATGACAACATATAGCCAATATCCTATTATTTACCTGGACTTTTCTCGCACCCCCTGGAATATCGTCTCGCACCCCAGGTTGGGAACCCCTGCATTAGAGCTTGTGGGAAGATAGTGATATTTAAGAGAATTCTTAGGTGGAGACAAAACGTCATATATCCATAACCAGAATTGATTTCTCAACCGTCCTAGTCTATTGTAAAAGAGAATAATTTTCTGTTTGAGAAAAATTACTAGTGATTATGGAACTAAAGTGCCTCATTTATTTGGTTTCACATTTTCCTAAATAATTTTCCATCTTAAGCAGTGGGCTTTTCTACTTCCATATGGTTGTTTCCTAACTACTGACAATAGAATTCTGCCACATTCCAGAACACTTCCTATCAATCTGAAAAGAAAAATTAATAATCTCAGTGTTCTGGGAATATTTATGTGTATACATTTGTATGCTGTATGTTTGTATATGTTTTTAAGTGTAATGTAGGGGCCTGCAACCTTAAAACACCCAAAAAGCCATTTGGACCAGTTTCTCACAGAAAAGACAACACTGCGAGCCACAAAACCTGGGTGGGCATGGCCAACTTAACTTCACTCCCACCCAGTCACATGTCCCCTAGCCAAGCCTACCCAGGTTTTGTGGCTCCCTGTGTTTTCTATGGGAAATAGGTCTCTCTCCCCCTTCTCATTCTCTCCATCATTTTCTCATTTCTCTCTTCCCCTTTCTCTCATTTCTTTCTCTTTCCTCTCCCACTTCCTTTCTTTTTCTTTCTCTCCCCTTCTCTTATTTGTTTCCCTCTTTTCCCTCTCTCATTCTTTCCCTCCAGTTCTCATTTCTTTCTCCCTCTCCCCCTTTTCTCTTTTCCTCTCTCATTCCCTCCATTTTCTCATTTCTCTTTTTTCTCCCCTTTTCTCTCTCCCCTTCTCTCATTTGTTTCCCTCTCTTTTCCCTCATTTTCTTCCTCCAGCTCTTTAATTTTTCTCCCTCCCTCTCTCCCCCTTTTCTCTCATTTCTCTCATTCTCTCCCTCTCATCATTTTCTCATTTCTCTCTCATCACTCATGCGTGTACAAGCGGGATACCCTTCTGGGCCAGGATCACAGCAGCGGTTGTAATGGCAAGTACTGTCACCACTGCGCAGTCATGTGCATAGTCGGCTGCGCTGCCCAAGAGAGCTGGAGCTCTTCCTGCATCTGGCGACGGCTGCTCCTCCCCATTCTCCTTCCTGAGCTGACATGAAGGGGACCACAGCTGGTGCTGAGCTGCCCACAAAGAAAACACTAGGGTCGCTTCAGAGAGGCTTGTGCAACCGAGTTAGCCAGTGTCTTAGGGTGGAGAGCAGGTTACAAGACTGAGTCGGCAGGGAGCCGCACGAGAGGGGTCAAAGAGCCACATGTGGCTCTGGAGCCACAGGTTGCCAACACCCGGTGTAATGGAATAGAAGGTAGAAGATTTCAGTTGCAGATCAGAAACATTTTAAAGCACAGGACACAATGGCTTTTCCACACAGATGAGTTAGGAAGAAAAAATGTTCTTTGCTCATCTTTTTGAACAATTTTTCAGTGTTCTGTCAAAAAAGCAACTAGCTAGGCCCAAACATTTCTGCAATTTCAGCAGTTGCTGATTAGTGAAGGAGTAGAAGAAACCAGAAAATGAGCTGAAGGGACCAAATAATAGATTTGGTACTACATTCCTACAAGTGTTAACAAACATTTCCAATTGAAGGAGCATCCTGTAATGTCAATAGAGAAAGCTTTCTAATGCTCGTCAGATGGTAAAATATATTCCTATATACTAAGTTGATTCACTACTAGAGTTGTCCCCCTTGTTTCCATTTGAATGTTGCCTTATAGGTTGTTAATGAAATGCATCAAATGATGTCAAGTAATTGGTAAGGATGTTCCATCAGAACTGATTTAAAATTGATATCAGTTTAAAACAAAATTGATCTAAACTTTATTCTATTTGTATATGGTCAAATTAATGAAGACCCTTAATAGTTTTTAGCAATGTAAAAGCACTCAACTAATTAAAATGTCCATGGTAATTACAATTAAACTTGAAAATTAATAACAAATAAAAATATAAGACAAAATGGAATGCAACCATTTTTTAAAAGTATCAACAGTTAACTAGTCATCAAATGCCCAGAAGTGGATTTCAGTGTGATTCTTGATTCCAAGGGAGGCTTTTCCATAAGGGAACAGTGACTGAGAAAGCACCAAAATGTGATCCATAGTAGTAAAAAATCTCTATAAAATATCTAGGTATCAGAAAAGCAAATGTAAAAATCAATCTCAAATTACCTCTTTGGTGGAGACAGAGTGAATTGAAAATGGTCCAAATGCCATTAATATTATTCTAGATTCCTTGTGAAGAATACTAGAATGTCAGAAAGAAAGAAAAAAACTACTTGTTCCACTTTTAAGTCAGGGATTACAACTTGCTTGCTTGCTAGTTATTTGCACTCTGAAAACATTACAATCTTAATAATTTTTCAAATACTTTTCTAAATGCTTGAATCTTGAATATATATATATAATAGTGGATAAATGGATTATATATATATCATAGTGAAGACAGTGGATCCTGATTGCTAGAAGCTTCAAAGATGACATGCAAAACAATCTCTTAAGTATGGTGGCTTGGCAGGTCTGCTCTCCCCAAGCATTATAAAGGATTGATTCAGTTCCACAGAGGAATAGGAGCGTAGGGGGGCTCATGTAACTAATACAGGTTGCCATGCATTGCTAATGAGAACAGCCTGGCCAAAGCATCTGCAGCATTTTCAAAGCTCAAAAGCTGTATGCAGCAAGCTAGTTTCATTCCCCACCACTACCTAACATTTCACTTTATCAAACTGGAAAGAGCTTGCAAATGATAGTGACTTTTAAAATGCCTTCCTAATTAAGGGCACCAATTTGGACCATTTTTTTACCTTAAACTGCTGCACTGAAATGAATGTAGTGAGAAAAACCAATTTCATGACACTCTGGCATATTTTGGGGGTTCACATTCTGTTTTTAACCTTCAAAGGTAAGTCTTTGTTTTGTTTTTAAATTTAACATTGCTTAAAACATTTATAAATGTGTTATTTATTTCTTTTTACTTTATGGAAAAAGTAACATTTACAAAAAGAAAGAAATACTTTATTTTATCCTTTCTTTGAAACTAATGTTAATTATAACACTATTAAAAAGAGGGTTCAAAGATATTCTTTGGATTAACAACAAGACCAGTTTTCTAAGAACTAAGTCCTACTGTGTCCATAGGGTCTTCCTAATAGATTATATTCCACATGTGCTACTCTTCTCCATAACAATATTTTTTCTCATAGTAGCTAGAAACTAGTTAACAGCAATGGGTTAGCATGTCAGGATAAATGTTTAATTAGTAATAGCATTCTATGGATCATTTTGTCATTCTTATTTGGTTTGGTAGTTGAAAGAGTACTTAACAATCTTCTCTTTTGAAAAAAATGTTTTAATTTTAATAACTCCAATAAAAGGCTGCCTTTAGAGCTCAGATTATTAATATAAATTTCAGAAGAGTGTGAGAGAGAAAGAATGATTTTCACTATTTTTATACAATAGAGTCTGTCTGTGAATTACATCTCCTGAACAGAACTGCAAGGTGAGTTTGCATTTCTGTTTCTTGATAATAACACATTCATATTGGGGAATAGAACACTGCACTAATATTTAGAAGTTTAAGAATTTTTAAAAAAAACCTATAAGCAAAGCATTAGATTAGAAAAGTTGCTTCAACAACGTTTCAATAACTTAAGTGTTATTCAAAGCATGAACTGTCAGGAAGGATTGCCTAAAGATATTTGTATAATGTATCCAACAAATTTATAATTTCAGAAATCCTTATAGGGCACACACTTTTTACATTTGAAGGAGTATGATTTTGAGATACGGCTTGGAAACTGAGAAATCTCAGTTAGGAAAAGTCTTAATTGTACTAGCATGTTTT